TGGGGATGTAGGAAAATGGTATGTTAGATGTAAGATTTATAAAACCAGGAAAGGTGTTCTGAATTCTTTCTTTCTCCGATCCCTTCAGTGCCAACACTCACTTGAGTCAACGCGCACTTGACCCGTGGTTTTAATATGGCGAGATGATTCTTCTGCTTTCCCCATATTGCACTGGTTTCAGAACACTTTGTTGTATTTCGATATCGCTGCTTTTGCTTGATCTAGTGCTCTTATATTGAGTGATTAGGTTAATTATCAGTACACTCGATGTTCCCTGTTGAGTTGGATAAAAGGACCTTGGTCAAGGACATAGCAGATAGGCAATGAACAAAGTGCTCACTTTTTCGCAGTGAACGACTGCTGTAATAGTGGGGTGTATAAAATTAGGTCTATGAAGCTTAGCAGGAAATGTTTCCACGAAATTAGATTTTTAAACATGAACAGTTTTGAATGATCTCTTAACTGAGCAGCTGCGGCTTCAATCATTTTGAGTGGATTCCTGAAGAGCTTTTGGATGCCACATGATGTCATTCGCTAGGGGTAATCATCTTTGAAAGGCTCCTTAAGGCTGTCACAGAGAATCCTTGGAAAAAGTCTGCTAGGGCTTCTGAATGCGTACAGCTTCAACCGAGTATCGTATAGCCTTCACTCTGAGTATACTTACAAGATTAGAGCGGCAGACAAATTTTTAGCAAAAAAAAAACGATTTCATGTCGTGGATTACATTTCGACATTCAATACTTTTCGATTAGAAACTATCAATGGAACCTCAGAGGTTACCTTAAATTTTTTTTGCCATATCTTGTGTTTTTCGCGGTCTTCTAGAAAATAGTAACCCTCATTTGATATATAATATTAATGGTTTTTGCATCTTGTAGTCGATATTTCTGGCGCGGTCTTGTTCAATTCAAATGAGAGTGGCATGTTCATCTATCTATGCGTTTTTCATTTCTTCTGACTTAATTTGGTGGCCTCGTCGACGAAAATTAACTATGTCGAACGATTTTTCATTATTTTTGCGCCGGCAAGGGCTATCCATTTTCATGCCGTCTATTACTGATCGCTTCCTCATTACTTATGGAAATGCCACGTTCGCATGCGATTCGTTTTCCGTTTCCTCGCCAAATTTTCCATTTTTCTGTAGGGAAAGTGTTTTGGTATGTGGACGTCTTCGTAATAGATCCAAAGTAGCGCTTCAATCAATAATGACCACAGTATACTGCCAACCAGCCACCACTTCCAACTCTTATGTAACGGTAAGTATGACTAAAATTTTTCTATGCTCTAGATTGATTCTGATGTTCGAATACTTCGAATGCAATGTATAAGTGATGAAGGAATTCTGGACATGGATGATAGGATCATAGATGTGTTTGATGAGGTTCGAGATCAGGTAAGGTAAGCCGACAATTTCAGGTGTTAGGCTGCTTTCATATTTTGTCTCACCTCATCAGCGAACGTACCATAAGATATCATGCCATTCACTCCCTGTACAAGGGAACAAAGTGGGCGGAGCTATCTGGTGGGCGGGGCTCTCCAAAGTGTGCATTTGCTTTGGGGTCTGGTGCTGACGAACAGCAGCCTCGGTTGAATGAGCTCAGCGTATGGCCTCCAAATAGGTTCTGCACGCATACAGCTGCCATGGTTTCTACCTGTTTGTACTGAGGGGACGAGGGGACGGCGGTCGGATATGTGAAATATTTTTTGGTAAAAGATTTATAAAAAAAGTGATTTCGACTAGGAGAGATTAAAAATCCGCGTCCTGACTCGGTCAGTAATAAGGGACAGCTGTCGGGATGCTGATCGTGTAGCGCAAGTTTTTCTGTAAGACGACACCTCTCATGAGATTTGGTCAGTTGTTCAGTGTAATTTGGCTGTTGAATGGTTTTAGAGTAAGTAGCAGTTGTGCATCATTTGCGGCTTGTAGTTCCTCAGCCTTCCTAGCCACAATCACGCCACCTGGCGTTGACAATGGTGCGATATCCAGGTCTAATTCTTTAACTTCCAGGTAAAATGTACTAGGCTCTGGTTCCTCGCGCCCTTGTCAGAAAGTCCACTCCATAGATAGAACATTATGCGCGTCCTCGAGTCTCATTCCAATTTTATTGAAGGCAAAGTTTGCGAAGCTGGTAGGCTCCCATTGGGTCATTTTATCGCTCTGTCTTCAGCATGGAGAAGCATATCGGGGGCAGATCCCTCAGCATTGTTTACCAGCTTGACTTCTGCGATTCAAAGTAGTGTAAGTCGGTTTGAATTTTGTGTGGAAAATTTGAAACCATGGGCACCCGAGACTAATGCCCACCAATCGTAAGATTGTACGGCAATGGATGTTCCCAAAAAAGGGTTGATTCTTCCAGCCTAGTCAGCTCAAGAGATTCCATCTAACACACTTATTTTGCCTGCTGTAAATGTTTCGGCGCAGCCCGTTGAATATTAATCTAAGATATATTTATATTACCGAGTTTTTACATAAAACTTACCGGGTTACTCCCAGGAAAAGGTATCGCCAAAGTTCAAGGATTCTATGTGCTTTCGAGAGTTACTGGTTCTCTTAAAGCTGGCATTCCAGATTCGACGGTGAGAATTTTTTCCCTTCTCAACAAGACAGCTCCCCGACATAAAACCACAATTTTCGCTGCTTGCGTCTCTGCTATCACGCTATAGATTATTTTTCCAGCGAACATCGAACCAGTTGCTTAGTGCGTGATTTGTAACCTGCAAATTAACACATTTCTTTTGTTATGAGCCTTCTATCCCCGAGGGTTATCACCTTCGCGCGTTAAGGCAGTTTACCATTCCGAAACGAAGGGAGTTTTGCGCTGCGAGTCTTCGTATTTGGGATAAGGTGGGGTCAGCATTTAAGGCTTAAGAAGTTTGGGAGGACGGTAGGAATTAGTGATCTGAGCGGGAATGGCCTGTTTTTGTCCATTTGATAGTCCACTACTTCGCTTGCTTCATTCGTCGAGAAGTGGCGGTGGCTTGCAACAGCGGGAGCTAGGATAGGTGGGAGTAGGAGGGAAACTTTGCGTTCTATTGCACTAATATACCCCCTGACTCATGGCAGAAAAGTGGGCGGAGATTGGCTGTGTCGATTTGTCTCAGAATCAAGTAATGTAGAGAGGCTATGTAATAGGCGCAGCGCAACCTCCCAAGACCGCACTAACGCGCGTAGTGTATAATGGCCCAGATAGGGGCAGCAGCAAATTCACACAATCAATTTCAAGATTCACGGAAAACCATCCCAAGCCTTCCCAATAAATGATATTTTAGTATGGGCTGGGCGTTTCGTATTTCGGCGCGCCAATGGCCGTTTATTGAGCGGAGAAATAAATAAAAAACACTACTTTTTCTTAACGCTGGTGACGTTTTTTGTAAGAAGCATTGCAATGCTGATCTTGAAATCTTTACAGAGATCCACATGAAATGAAAACAGCGGTCAGCGGAGACATCAAATTGGGCACAGCGACAGCTTTTATTGCCGAGCGTTGTTGCTGTTTCTGCGGAAATCAAAGGATGGTATATCAGCCATTCGAAGTTACAATACAATCACTTTAAATAGCACTCAAAAGAAAGAGACGCAGCTCAAATTTCAAGAAGTCGCAAGGAGTACAAAAAGGTTTAGCGGTAAAATGGGACTACTGAAAATCTAAGACGCCTACGCCGAAAACAAATTAAGGGGCGGCTTAAAAGCACGCGGAAAAACGAGAAACAGCCAGGGCCAGTAAAGACAAAGCGGGGTTGGATCAATACATGAATTTCACTATGTGTACTGCATGTATAGTAGTAAAGTAAAGTAACGTGACACTGGAAACTTTTAATGGAAATTATATTAGCAACGCTGGATACGCACTTTGTTTCAGGTTTGTGCCGACGCGCTGTACTTTAGTTGAATTTTTAAGAACTTTAGTCAAAGGCATTGGGATGAAAAAACCTAACTGATCTGCAAAAGAACTTCATCGAATGAAATGGAAAGAAAAGAAGAAAAACTGGCCGCTAATCGCATATGCGGGGGTATTTCCAGGCTAACAATAACCTAGAGGGAGCAGAACACGTGAGAGAATGAAAATGGCCTCAACCGCATTCCTTGAGACTCGCCTCCTTGGCCTAGGCTGCGTCCCATTCTTAACAGGAGTAAACTTCCTACCGCCTTCAAATGCAATGCGATCACAACTCCTGTATAATGCTAAACTTGACATTTGTTTCCGAAATGCCGGCTGAAATAAAAGAAAGCAAATTGCCATGAGACTGAAAGTCCCAACGGGGTCGATCTATAAAATGCTGAATGTTTTTTTTTTCTGAACTCAAATTTTATCTGGTTTCTGGAAGGAGAAATTTCCATGAGGAGAAGGAGGCAACGGGTTGAAAGAGAATAAGGGGGCGTCAAAGATCTCGTGGGAAGCAATGACGAAGAGCAAGATGCATTAATTCTCCGACATGTGGATGATTTTCAATGATTGCATCATTGCGATCGAACGAAGATCGGACTGATCTCACGCATTTTTCAACAGCTCCCGATCTAACGACAATTCAGGGGTTAAACTTGATGAAGACAAGGCAACTACTCCATGGGGAGCTCAACGAAACAGCTCTCACGACATGAAAGTTCTTTCAGAAGTCCATTCAACAAAGGACGCCTAGACCAGATCCCAGGATGAGACTTTTATCGCAAATTTGCAAATCGGAAAGTGTCGTCGGAAATCAGAACGCCCACAAGTTTTGCACCTGGCTGCTCGAAAGACCTTAGATGAACTGATACTTTCACTATGTACACAGAGAAGGACGCTCTGCCTGTCTGAAAAACGATTCTCAGTGAGTTCGCACCACTTTCCTTTGGACGACAAACAGCGCTGGTGGGAAACCACAAAGACGCCCGGCATCGTAGTCTTCCAGCACGCCACGTCACCAGTTTTTCTCACGTAATAGCCCTAAGCTTGGCAAGCCGAGGGATTAGTCGCCACACTCGATACTTTTTTAGCCAGGCACTATTGCATCATTCCACCCTGTTGCCTCGCTCCACTACTTGCCTCCCCCCTCTTGTCACAACAAAGTTTGCCTGCAAGCTGCTCTCCATAACGTCTTGCATAATGTTTGATCTGTTGAAGTACATACCGTAGAAACTTCATGTATGTGTTTTCAAATGTTCGTCTTCGTTTCTCCCTTACTCTACCCTTCTTTCATAACCACCTGATATATTCAGCATATTAATCTACGGCCAAAGTAAGACAAAGGTGCCGTTGTCGTGGCAGTCCGCAAGAAGGATGACTAACGCTGATAGCTGCTGATTTCAAGGTCCTTTGCTTATCAGAAGTTTGTCCCTATGACGCATAAGCGACACGATCGATTCTGCGACAGCGTTTTCCTTGCTTAGTGGGTAATTTTTTGCAGGTTTTATCAACTTTTTGGTCTTTTATTTACTTCTTACCAGGCAGTGGGCGAATATAGGCTTGGGATAGGAGGTAGATCAGAAAGGTGGAGGAACTAGCAAAAATCATGGGGCGTTCTTAGGCAACTTTCTTGGGTTTACTAGATTTTTGAAGGTTTTATTCGCTTGTTTCCAGTTTCAGTGTTTCTTTTTGAGTTCTTTTTGCTTTCATACTGTTATTGAAACAGTTTCGAATAGTTTTTTTTATCCAGGTGAAGCCATTGGATCCCTAGAGTGATTTTTTTGAAGAAATTATTGATCGATGTGACAAATATAAGTATGGTTCAATATGATTAAGTCATTACGGTATTTCTCGCCAGATTCTCGCCATTTACGACGAGCAGTCGCCAAACGGCAGTGACGCTGCGGACGGTTGCACGGTGACGACACCACGAGGTCCTGTGGTGGGACGTGTTCGTGACAGTATTGTGGAAATTGTCAGTTTGGAGAACCCACCTAGTGAGTCCATTTGTTTGCCCTTAATTTCTTATTTTTGAATTTCTTATTTTTTTCTCAGCAAATTTTTTTTCATTTTTTCTCAACTAGGAAGAGGTCTTCATCAGTAGTGTTGTCATTGCTATCATGCTTGTTTTTTATTTTCTTGGAAATCTTTGTCTAGGCCTAAATTTGAAGTAAGAAGGTCGCGTGGGGTCCTAGACCTTAGCATCTCAAATGGTACATCAGAATAGGGTCGTTGGATGGTTTTAAAGATTTTTCCATCAGGGTTGAAAAAAGGTAGATTTTGGTAGTAGATTCACGGACTCTTTCCCTTTGAGATGTACTGCTCGTGCAAAAATGCCAAGGTAAACGCAAGTGCCCTGATAAGATGGGGCGCCTGTACTTGTCTGTTCCCCTTTGACGACTATAAAATGGGTAAATAGCCTGGTTCGTGGCGTATTGATCTGACTTATGGAAAAGTGAAGCTTAATTATTACTTAATTTATGTTGTTTATAATATGAAAAATGTGATCTTGATCAATCCAAGTCCGAGATGCGCCACGCTCTCGGCTTTCTTCTGGTATCGTAGTGGCTTCGTTAGAAATTTGGCTCATGAAATAGTAAACGAATAAGACAACCAGCTGGTGGAAGAAGTGCTTCCTGTCCTTTGAGAGAATCTGGTGCCAACAGTTGGAAGTGACAGAAGGCCCGGTGGTCTTGAAATGGGTGCAGCAGGGCCCGGCCGGGTCTCCAAAACTGCGTCCCTGCTCCGTTCGATGATACAGTCCTCATGGCTAAAAATAGAGGATGCGTCCAGAGATGCAGAGTTTTGGGCATCTATACCCGGGCGCGCCTCGCTGCACCCTGCCCCTTGATGGGCTTCATTCTGCTTGCGGCCCACCGGAGCTAACGGCACCATTTTGTCTTACTTTGGCCGTAGATTAATATGCTGAATATATCAGGTGGTTATGAAAGAAGGGTAGAGTAAGGGAGAAACCAAGACGAACATTTGAAAACACATACATGAAGTTTCTACAGTATGAAGTCGGATCCATAATTTTTGAGAACCTTTGGTGTTTTTCGACTTAATTACTTATCTTATTTCTCTGATGTATTTATTCAGCATAGTATACATCACCATTATTACCAACATATAACCAATGCGAGGGTGGGTATTCAGTGTCCTCTACTAAGAATTTCATAGAGTTCTGATCGAGGAAAAATTGTAATCCCGAATCATCTCTGAACCCGATCTGACATCATCATGTTCCTCTTGGTTTCCCATAGTTCCTCCGAATGACCATCCATCCTACTCATCGGTGATGTGGACTGGGTGCAGTGTGCTAACAAATCCACAAGCCGCAGTAGCTTAGCTTAAACGATTCGGGAGTTATGTTAGCAAAAGCCTAACCCTCCTTTCGAATTCTAACTTCTGAGTCGTTGACGGGATACGAGAGGGGTTTTGCGCTGGGAACTGGCACCAACTAATACCAGTATCAGTGATGAAGATAATCTTAGACGGCTTAATGGCAACGCCTTCAACTTGAAAGCGACGTAAGACAAAATCTAATTTTTTCTGAGGTTGTTCAAGCCTGCCTTGCTCTTTTAGCTCCGCCTTGTAGCACTAATTCTGTACCAACGAATGACTGTCCGCTCTCCTCTCTGAATCACCTTCTGGAGAAGAAATCTCACTTGAATCGCCATAATGTCAAAATCGACATCCAATTTCTTCGACTAACAACTCTATGAATTCTACAAGTAGAGACACTGAATACCCACCCTCGCATTGGTTGATATGTTGTTAATAATGGTAATGTATATACTGTGCTGAATAAATACATCAGAGAAATAAGATAAGTAATCAATTCGAAAAACACCAAAGGTTCTCAAAAAATATGGACCGACCTAATACTTCAAAAACATGCAAGACGTTATGGAGAGAAGCTTGCAGGCAAACTTTGTTGTGACAAGAGGGGGGAGGCAAGTAGTGGAGCGAGGCAACAGGGTGAATGATGCACTAGTGCCTGGCTAAAAAAGTATCGAGTGTGGCGACTAATCCCTCGGCTTGCCAAGTAGAGGAGGGGAAGCTTAGGGCTATTACGTGAGAAAAACTGGTGACGTGGCGTGCTGGAAGACTGCGATGCAGGGCGTCTTCTGTGGTTTCCCACCAGCGCTGTTTGTCGTCCAGAGGAAAGTGGTGCTAACTCACTGAGAATCGTTTTTCAGACAGGGCGAGGAGTGTTCTTACTTTTCTCGTGGCACTTGGTGAATATCAGTTCATCTAAGGCTTCTGAGCAGTCAGTACAAACTTTGTCGTTCCGATTTCCGACACACTGTTCCGATTTCAAATTGCGTAGAAGTCTCGTCTGATATTGTCTAGGTCATTTGTTGGAGGAATTCTGAAATTTCTAATTGCGTGAGGCTAAGTCGTCGAGCTCCCCAATTGGAGTAATGGCCTTCGTCTCTAAAAGTTTACCCCCCTGAATCGGTGAAAAATGTGCGCCGATGAGAATCAGTCCGATCTTCGTTCATCGGCAAATGAATGGGCAATCATTGAAAAATCATCCACATGTCGGAGAATTAATGCATCTTGCTCTTCGTCATTGCTTCCCACGAGATCTTTGACGCCCCCTTATTCTCTTTCAACCCGTTGCTCATGGAAATTTCTCTTTCCAGAAACCCTCTCCTCTCACCTCCTTCTCCTCATGGAATTTTCTCTTTCCAGAAACCAGATAAAGTTTGAGTTCAGAAAAAAAAAACATTCAGCATTTTATAGATCGACCCCAATTGGGACTTTTCAATCTCATGGCAGTTTGCTTTCTTTTATTTTACCACTCCCTTTTGAACTTAAGTGAGAAATACATCACATTTAAATTCGGTTTCCGTACTAATAGGATTTTCGCTTTCTTCCACTGAAATGACACGGTCAAATTCGTTCATCATCTTGGAGCCTACGCAGCCCATATTTGGGTGCAGTCCTTGACCGCGTAGGACCTTTCAGCCGGCATTTCGGAAACAAATGTCAAGTTTTCGGCCTATAGCAATATACAGGGGCATTGTGATCGCATTGCATTTGAAGCCGCGTAGAAAGTTTACTTTTTGTTAAGAATGGGACGCAGCCTTAGGCAAGGGGAGGCGAGTCTCCAAGATGCGTGAGCCATTTTCATTTTCCCCGAGTTTCTGCTCCCTCCTAGGCTTAGTCCTGAAGGATACCCCCGCATATTGCGATAGCGCCAGTTTTTCTTCAGTTTTCCTTTCCATTTCATTCGATAAGGTTTCTTCTGCATTATACAGTAGGTTTTTCTCCCAATTTGCTTGATAAGATTCTTAAAAATTTCACTAAAGTCCCACGCGGCCGCAAAACGTTGCGCGGTCTCCAACATGTTAATGTATTTCCATCAAAATTTCTATGACCATTACTATCCACCCAGCTTTGTTTTATGGTCGTACTTCCAATTTCCGCGTTCCTACCCCATTTTGTTTGTTTCCGCTGACTCCTAGGTTTTCAGTAGTCCCATTTTTAAGTGCACCTTTTCTTGTCTACTCCTTGACTTCTTGAACTCTTGGAGTGTGTCTCTTCCTTTGGAGTGCTACTTTAAATTTTATTGTATTGTAACTTGGAATGGCTGATATACCATCTTTTGATTTCCGCAGAAACAGCATCAACGCTCGGCAATAAAAGCTGTCGCTGTGCCCAATTTGATGTCTCCGCTGACCGCTGTTTTCCTTTCATGTGGATCTCTGTAAAGATTTCAAGTATTCAGCATTGCAATGCTCTACGAAAACGTCACGCGTTAAGAAAAGGAGTGTTTTTTTTTATTAATTCTCCGCTCAATAGCCATCGGCGCGCCGAAATGCGAAACGTCCCAGCCCATTACTCATAAGTCATTTTTGGAAGGCTTGGATGGTTTCCATGAATCTTGAAATTATTGGTTTGACTTTTGCTGCTTCCCTATGGTATGGGTGGGTTACTGGGTAACGAATGAAGCAAGCGAGTAGTGGACTATCAATGGAAAGCCAGAATCGATTTATGTGAACTAACTATGAGAACTTCGGAAAGCAAATAAATTTTTCTTCAGTGGGGATGTTGTTCCGTGGAAATTGTTTATGTCGGGAGCTTCTATGTGAAAAGGGAAAAAATTCTCTGAGCCCCGAAGGCAAGCCCTGGGATAAAACTGGTATATAAGAGCGCTTCGTAGTGATGACTGAGCTCCTGATTGAAGTGAAAAGTGGGAAGGAAAGCAGGGGAACTCATCGGCGAAGCTAAAAGTAAGGCGTCAACCTTCCAGTAAGGTCAGATATAGTTCGACGGCGAGACAGGGTGATCAATGAAAAAAAACCCGCGAGAGAGCACGCTTGATCTTTAATATCAATCGCGGTGGGCGGGGAGCATTGCAACGGGGGCCGGTGGTTGCAGGTCCCATAAGGATTAGTGCCCTAACCGCGCAACTTGTGCGAAGAAGCTGGCATGATCCATGTAGGTACGGACCCCGCAGCTTCCCTCAGCGCTAACTATCCTACTAGATCAGGTTAATCCCCAGGCCTTGCCGTTAAACGAGAGGCTCAAGGTCCGTGCTGAGCAATTTTGTCGTCTTTAAAAATGAATAAATGCGAATTGAAGTTGTATCTTTAACAAATCACGAATCCATAAGCCCTGACAAGAAGGCTGCATAGTGAAAACGCACCCCATTTTTTCCCGTGGCATACGGTCACCCCCCCCCCCCCCCCCCCCCCCCCCCCCCCCCCCCCCCCCCTCTCCCAAGGGTAGCCAACCTTCGATCGTTCCTAGGTCATTTTGTTGGTGTCTGGGAAGGTTATAGCATTGATTTAACATTTCTAAGTACTAAAAACAATGAGCTTTTTAATAAAGTGGATAAGGCATTTGCCGTCCCAAAAAGGGATCGACTCACGACCCAGGACTCGATCCTCGGACCGCTCGCGTGGTAAGCGTGCCACTTGCCACTACAGCGCTTCCGCCCTTCAAAACTGCACTTATTACTATGCTGAAATTACTGCTTTGTTCCAAATTCGAATAGGTAGTGGATGCATAGCACGTCTTGAGTTAGTCGGCTCAGCATCGAGCCATCTTACCATTTACCTTTACGAACCACCTTCTAGGTGACATTATTGGTTTATTCAATGTGCTTATGGAATTTAATGAGTTTGTTCTGATTGATAATAATAATAATAATATAATAGTAAACATGGCTTACGGTAATAGTAGTGATTCATTGACGTATGCGTAGGAGTTTCAGCTGAAAGCGGTTGAGTATGCGAGAAAGCATTGGCAGCTGGATGGTGCTCAGTGCTTATTCGACATTCTAGGCAACGGTTTGCGTGTTTCGTCATCGATGACTGACAACCACCGCAACACAACGGACAGCAACACGACGACGTTTGCAGTGATCGGCAGCAAGCGGTGACGGCGGCGGGCGACAAGGACCGACTCTCTCAACCTGTGCGGGTCCCTCATTCGCGAAGTCGGACAGCTCCACACCCCTCTCGAACATTCGAGTGTTATTCCCTGAGTCCTGGTGGGTTAATTTAGCCGTTTGCTATCATGTTCTGGCCCCTTCTATATTTTAAGTACGAAATATTCAATCGCTGTGGTGTTGACAGAGAGTTAATGGCGGTAGCCTTTTTGGGACATCATCCAAGTCCATATTTTATCATTTTGGTTTTTTTTTTCCTCCGAAGTTTTTAGTTCAGTGATAGATTGACTGGAAAGAGCTAGGTTTAGTTCAGCGTGCTTCTGCTTTTCTTTCCGGCGTACTTGATAATTCACTAAAACACCAACATAGCCTTTACAGAGGTAGAAAAGAGGCTGGCGTCATCTGGCGAGAAGGACACGCGACTGAGTCGCGGATCGGCGAGGAAATCCCGATTGACGGAGAGTTTCTTCGATGCGAAGGTGCGTTGTCAAGATTCATTAAATCATCTTTTAACCATGGATTGACCTTTTCCTCCGTCTTGTCCTTTGAGGCCATAAATTGATTCATGACTGAAGCCAATAATGTGGGTTCGGTTTTTGCGAGCGCTATTTCGAATAGGAGAGCGGGAAGAGAGGAGGCCAGAGGGTGAAATAGTTAGGAAAGTCGTTGAAGGAACGAGACCTAATAAAGTATGTATCACGAAGAAACTGCACCAAAGCAATGCAGTCAGTCCCATGTGCTGCGACCAGGAAAATGATGATTGCATCAAATCAAAGGTGTATGATTGCTTACACTTATTAGGACTTCGCTAATCTTCTTGATTTACAAGTTTGATGTGCTGCGATATGTGTCTCGATTTCTTTCATCACTCTTTGCATATCAAAATAGTAATGAACCACTTGGTCACATGCTTGCTCCTGGTCTGACTAGTGTTCGTTTGCCGTCAGCTGGCTATTTTTTTTTGCGGACTTCGAGGAGTTTAGATGCATTGTCCTAGCCTAACTGACTCCTTTTTTTTCTGCGTCAAAGTTCACAATGAGTGAATCACTCCATGCTTGATTCGTCTGCTTGAATCGCCTCTTTCCTATTTTCTTCCATTTTTTCATGAGCTTGGTTTTACTTACTGCACATTTCTCGGCTTCTGCTTTGGTTGTGGCGCGCTTCTGAGCGTGAGGAATGACTAAAAATCAAGTCAAGGTGGAAAATGAAAGGATAATGAATTTTGCGTATGAGTTTAGAATGCGCCCACATTGTACTTTCAATCAGAATCGTAGCGGGATACTGGGAAAGTAACAGATCATGCTTTGTACGCGAATCCGCAGGATCCACGCCTATACAGGGCTTCGGGGGGGGGGCAACTTCGAAAAAAGACATTTTTGTCTCCAGACCTCAATAAATGGATTAATGATCACCTTGAGCTCACGCTGCACGAGAGGCAGATGTGCGTGGCCTAACTCATACATGGAGGAAGAGCGCAATTTCTTTTCAAGTAGAAGAACCCTTAGAATCTTACATGGTGGCCTTGTAGAAGATGAGCGTGAGGGCATAGAGAATAATTTGAAAGGGATCGCTGGAAAGATAGTTATATAGGAGTTGCTGGCAGCTATATTTGGGAAGTTGTGCTAGTGGATCTGGAATCGTCGTTAGCCGTTAAAAGGAACGCCGAAAGTGTGAGTCCACCGGGGGTTTGCTCAGTGGGAGTGTGTAGAGCGCAATGTCCCCAAGGAGAACTATCCCGACGTGGAACCGAGGGGCCCGTTGGGATCAGAGTCGTGAAACCGTACCCGACGATGGTTCATCAAAGAAAGCTATAACCAGTAGAGAGCTTCGAAAGGAATGAAGAGCCAGTTACTGTAGGCCCCGATCGGGCTGGTAAGTCTCGAGACACGGGTACAGATGACGTTCTATTTTCCGAGTGAGGTGTGAAGAGGAAGGGCACGGGGATTTTATAGAGGGACATTTAGGTAGATAACTTTGCCTGAGGAACCTTTACCGTCAGCGACGGCACCTCGTGCGATAAAGAAAAGCTCGAAAGTGGCCGACCTGGGGAAAAATGTCTTTTCTTCTGCCCACCCCCTCCTGTATACGGTCATTTTTGTGCTTTCGGACGGGGTGCTGCCAAGGACTTCACCTCAGAGTGAAGAGCTTGATTGATTGATTGGCCTAAGGCGAGATTCCATCAGAGGTTTTACCCTATATCATGCTCGGTGAAAGAGGTATCCTTTGTCACTCTACCACTCCTGCCCTAAGCTAGAGTAATGCTGGATTGATGAAAATCTCCAAATAGTGAGTGGGTGTATGGGGTGTTTGGGCATTTTATTGGCGCTCCGAAATGCTCTTGTTCCTGACTGCACAGAGTAATAAATTTAGTGTGCTAGCTTGTTCCTGCTTTCCACTTTTTTTATCTATGTAGAACTTGCTTGAATGTACTAATCTCTCCATGTGTATTGTCATTCATGTGTACTGTCATTACTAGTCAGCAACGATTTCCTACCAATCTACTGGCACATCAAATACGGTGAATTGTGCATAAGCGTATTGAAGTATTTCGATGTGAAAACGCTAAAGCTCACCCAAACATGGTAGTGGGATGTGCTAAAGTTATATCCCTTACCCAAGAGGGCATAGGCTGAAGTTACATCCCTTACCCAAGTTTACTTTATCCCAGGCATTCTGGCTTATGGCGGTAAAATGGATGCTGAAGAAGCCTTCAATGTGATATCGTAAAAATTGACGGTATTAGGCAGAGCTAGGAGTCTTGAGGACGAAATCTGGAGAGTAAAGGACTTTCTAATCCTATCTTCTTAATTTAGAGACTATAGTGGAGGGGTGCTCCCTTAATAGTAAAGCTTGTTAACACAGAAAGTTTTATCTGTGTTTCCAGATTTTCCGACGAAGGGTACTTTCCCTCTTGCCCGAACGCAAGAAACTTTCTGAGAATGTCTTGACTATCATATTTTTGGATTGTATGTTTGGTCGTTGGCTTTATAGACGTGGAATGATTTCGTTTGTTAAGGAGCGGCTGGAAGATGCTCGTGAAGCGAGTCATGCGTCGCCAATAACGACGCAACGAAGTCGACCACGAGCTTATCTGAAACCGGCTCTGGATCCAGAAAACACTGTGATCGTATTCCCTAGTGAAGATTTGATTCCTATGGGTATAGAGGTAAGTGGTAAAACTGCTAATAGGAGCTGTTTCCTGACTAGGCGTTATCCTTCAGGTAACGGGTGTACAAGATGATCCGGCGTCGACAAGTGGACGCCTTTCTGCCGTTCAAATCTTACGAATTGAACCTGATGGTCGGGTTGGGATGGATGGTCGGTTAGCCGTTGGTGACAATATTGTTGAAATAGACTATCGACCGGTTTATCAGGTAGGATTTGAGTTTTTGTAGCTTTTCCAAATTGGATGACGTTTTTCTAATCAGTTCAATTGGTTTTCAGATGTCGATTGTCCGTGCCAGAGCCTATCTAAGCGAACTGCAGTCACGTGCCGAGCCGTCGTTAACGGTCGCTCGACCGCCTTCCTCGTTTGCAGATGATCCGTTCTCGAGAAGCCAGCCTGGGACGTCATCGCTGCAAAATCGACCGATCTTGTCAGCACTTCAGCAAGCGAACACTGTTCATATTGGTCATACGAAGGTGGTTGAACTGCAGAAAAGTAAGCAAAGGCTCAATTTTTTTCTTACTTTTGTACATGAATTGGGGTGGTGCGGCGGCAAGAGGCCTCATAACTGAACATATTACCCACAGATCAAATCCTTCGCTGACATTCCGCCCCTTCTCTTCTTCATCTGCCCTGTCAATCATAAAAGCTTGAATGAACAAATAAATTTTCTTCTATATCAGGGGCGGAAGTGGTGTAGTGGCAAGTGGCACGCTTACCACGCGAGCGGTCCGGGATCAAATCCTGGGTCGTGAGTCGCCCGGGCCAACCAAGCCTTCCATCCCTCCGGGGTCGGTTAATTGGTACCAGACTTGTCTGGGAGGATAAAAACACTGACTTGTACATCGGCTGGCCCCCAAGTCATTGTATAGGCCACATCGCATTCAAACGCCACTACGAATGTACAAATGGAAGTAGAATGCGTGCCGCATCCCAAAAAGGGATTGATCAACGGCAAATGCTTTATCCTTTATCCTTTAATAAATTAGTAACGTGTCTGCTTATCAGCAAATTGTTCACGCGTCGATTGCTCATTGCTTTAAATATTGGGGCTGTCTATTTTTAAGCAAGCAAGCCCAGCCAAATCCGTCGAAGCATTGTGCCGGCAGTAGCCACGAGGTCATCACAGGTGTGCCGTTTTGCGTGTCGAAAGTGTGCGCAAATGCGATAGGGGTCTACAGAGTGAAATTTCTGCGACTATCTTAGGCCATTTGAAAACCTGTATCCGTTCGCCGATCGCGTCACCGCAGTCGTGGATTAAGTACCGTAAGAGCCATTTACCAGTTAGATATGTAGCCTCTATCAGTGGATACGGATTGCGCATGAAATGGATTTTCTAAAGACGTAATTTTTCCCATGCCATCATTATCAATCACTGTTATCACACCAGTCAGAACTGGAGATGTTGCTTTAGCTTAAATGCAGCGATTACGATTGATCTCAAAGGGGTTTAAAGAGGACTTGAGGGTAACATACGCCACATGCGAAAAAAAGCAGAAATGCTCAAATCACGCAAACCCTGTACCCTTTGAATTGCTTTTCATTTTCGACCATGGATGAGCGACGGTAAAGAAGACGTTGTTCGGACGTGTTAACCCCGATAGCCGCCAAGCATAGTGTTTTGATTGATAAGGCATTACATGGGCAAGTTGGAAGATACAGCCGCTAAAGGGAAATGATCTTCCAAAATGAAAAGCCAACAGCAAACAGCTCGCCCAAGTCATCATTGAACAGTGGGCGTAACGCTGCTGGAGGCGGAGTGCTGCGGAGGTCCTGCTCAGCAACCACAGCACCTTTCGCCGTGGAAGCGCCACACATTTCTCCTGCGATGCGAAAATTCCTTATCGTAATCGCTTCCTGTGAAGGCATACCCACGATCAAACTGGTGTAGTTCTTGCACACGATTATGTGTGGAATGGACCGACAGTAAACAAGAAAGGAAAAGAAACTGCCGAAAGCGCTTTTAAAAGCTTGCTCACCGTTCCTAATGCGACCGCCAAGGCAGTGAGATACTGAGGATGGGAAGGATTACGAGGCAAAAGAACGCTGCAAATGAGAGGACGCCACAGAATGGTCTGCTGCAGACGGTGAACATTGCAGCTGCTGCAGCTGATTTTGCAGAGAACTAGTGCCCTTGTCGGCAATTTCCATGCACGGAAGTGCCACATCTGTGATTGTCCTCTGAGGTCTATCGTACAGACTGGAGAGAATCGTTCACACAACTCCTGCCTAGGTTGTGTTTCTAACGTTTTATACAAAGCCCCAAGAGATGGAGGTGTACTTCCTTCTTTAGCCGACAACAGCGCGGCGATTTGAATGACTCATCAACCGGTCCTTTGTGGGTTTCCTAGATTGATGTGATTTCAGATGGACACGTAGCGAAATTCACAGACGATGATTTGTGAAAAAAATGATCGGCAATCTTTCTCACTTTGGAAACTGCCCATCTTCCGGACTGGAAACCGAGCTAATTCAAGTTGATCCCTAAGCTTGCATGAGCACCGTAGACTCTGGTGTTCGAAGGAATGCTCTCAACCATTCAGCAAGTACTGCAATGCCTTTGAAGCCTTCCCTTCCCCTCGAAACTTTGTTTCCAGAAGCTAACAAGGGCTTCGTTTCGAGAAGATAGGTAGTTGCTACCTGGATTGCGCAGCGCATTTGGTTGTTCCGGAAGTGTTGGAGGGGTATTCGGCTATACCTTTTGGCAGCCAAGTTAGAACTATATTTTCCCAAAGCATGTCCGATAACAACTAGCCGTTTTATGAGAGCAGATCGTGTTAACGTTGATTTCTAGATGAGCGGAACGGAAGGAAGAAAAGGAGTTGCATCATTTTGCTCTAGGAAAGGGGTGTTATGTTTAGTGAATCGATAGTGGATAATCACATCTAAGGCTTGAGAATCTTTGAATGAGGAATTTTCTGCAGATTTCACAAAAATTTGGAACTTAGCAGGAATTTACATAAATTTTCAGAAAATTTTAGAATTCTTATCAGCAAAATTCATATAGCAATTTTATTAGACAGAACTTTAGACTTTTCATCACTGGTTTGATATAAATTTCAGAAAATTTTGGAAGAGACATTCGTGTCCGATTTCGAATTTCACTTGCACAAGGCATACGCTTATGAAAAGTAGAAAATTGTTTCACAGTAGGTTCCGATCCGACGGATCGTGCAAGTGCAACGCAGCGTCTCTTGCCTCAACACCACCTCTGTTTTTCATTATCTGTCTGTTTTTTTTTCGCAATGAAAATTTTTATGAATAATTCAACACAATTGTTGATTTGACTTCTCCATGAATCATTGTCGTCACCGTCACTCTAACGATAATAGATAGTGATGATTGTGCAAACATATCATTCACCCTTCATCAAAGGAGCCATCATTTCAGCGCCAGCTGGTTTTGGTTTCACTGTAACCGGAAGAGAGACCGCCAAAGGCGAACGACTGTTCTATATAGGAACGGTGAAACCGAATGGGGTGGCTCTGGGACATTTACGAGCTGGTGATCGACTTTTAGAGGTGATTACTTTTTTGATTGTCACACTAAAGGCTGATTTTTATACTTGATTTATGTTCCGAGGAGTGCCAGGGGGACTACTTTAACTCCAGGATGCCGGGACTACTTGAACTCCAGGCATGCAAGAAGGCCAGATACTGAATTCTGATGTGATCTGGTCTTTTGGCTTTGTCCCCATTTTGAACAAGTAACCATGCGTCCTGATTTTTGCCCGCTCGGAAAAATCCCTTCCCATCCCCTGAAATATTGAGGTGGAGGAATTATTTCTGCTTTTCAGCTGAATGGTGAGCCCACGGCCGACCTCACCCAAGCGGAGGTGGTGGAACGGTTGAAAAAGGCTGCTGTAGGAGATACGGTATCTTTCTTGGTTTCAAGAGTCGTCGAAGACGAGGATGAGAAAAAGAGCAACTCAAGCGAACGGGAAAATCGCCCTCCCACCAGTGGGATCGGTGGCCAACGTAGAAAGTGAGATAATTGGAGTCGTAATTTGATTTGAAAGCGCCGTTTTAAATCTATCTTCTTTTATTAAGGCATTAGCTTCGACATCATCGACACTGCCTAAGACGGCCTCGTCTGTGGAAGAATTAGAGCTGATCATTCCGCTTAATGACACTGGAAGTGCCGGTTTAGGAGTGAGTCTAAAAGCTCGCCGTAACGGTACGAACAAATGGAACAAGGCAGGACTGTGGAATATTCATCAAAAGTGTAAGAATTCACTATTTTTCTATCTGAAAGCTCGTAAAGGAGTATTGGAGGAAAATAGTTTTAGCCAACTGTAGAAACCTTGAAACGAGAGGATCATTTCCGGTGACAGGCGGAGAGGCACTAAGGCTGTCAAGTTTGGCAGAGGTGCATGGCTGTCCTATCTGCAGCTTGATGCCATTAGGTCTCCTTTGGCCGTGACATGCATTCGTGAAAATAGAACTGAACTGTAGCTTCCGTGATATCTGTCACACTGGCCGCCGCCGGTGTACTCTATTCTGAATCGCCTCAAAGCCCACCACTCACTTTATAACTGGTGGCTAACAACTAGATTAATGACCTTTGAAACGTTGTCAAGGGTGGCTTGCTGTTAAGTTTATGGAAGAAGGGTCAATTTTCCCTAGTCCAAGAGCGCACAAGTTGCGGCTTACTCCCACGGTGTTTCATTAGTCATATCGCGAGTATGGGCTGTCCATGTCCAGTCAGATGAGCTGGCGTTCGCTCCGAACGCGACATCTATGAAGAACACTATGTAACTAGTAGTTTCCATAAGATCGAACGACACAACCGTTTTGCGAGTAGATCAGAGTGTTGTGATCCGTTGGACCGCCCACGTTGCTACCAACCACTCGTTACAGATTCGGCCTTGGCCTCCCTTCATCAGGTAGCCAGGTCGTATTTGTTAGAGATGAAATGCATGCACGCTACGAACCTTCAGCGAGCAAAAATGCCATCCCTGTCGGCAGTCTAGCGAGTCTATTACGTGTCCGTTCAGATCCCATTTCTCTATCTGCAGTGGTTGGTAGTATTATGCTCATGCTCATAGAGTGATCGGCCTTCTAAAAATCGCCTATAAGAATCCGATGAATTTGAGTGGCCTAATTCCAGTGCTTGTCAGCGGAGGTCTGAGACATGTGTAAGGGAACAGGCTGAGCAACACTTATTTGAAAATCGACTGGCCCAAAAAATGTGCAAGGAGGGGACTCATTCAGATGGATAAGGTTGAGTGCATAGCGCATTTTGAAAAGGATGACCTATAAACATGATGTTATTTTCAATAAGGACTTCAGAGCATTGGTTTTCATTTCACGTTACATTTTTATATCACCGACAGTTTTGATCGAGGTTTACATCACCGTTTTCTAGGTCCTACATGGCGGTGCAGCTCATAAAGATGGCCGTCTCCGAGTGAATGATAGGATAGTAGGAATAGAAGAGCTCCGATTAGAGGGCGAAACGAACGCCACTGCCAGTGAAGCAGTTTCGAGACGTTTGAAGGCGATAGGTCCGACGGCGAAATATGTGCGGTGAGTGCATGAAGGGTTGCCAAGTTGTTTCATAGTTTCTTTGCTCGTTTTAATGGCCACTTTTGAAGGTTACGGATTCAACGAGCAAAGGACCCTCCAGTTCAAAGCGCATCACGGTCTTCCGTAGAGAGCGTGTCTGGAGTTGCAACTCGAACGTCTGTGATGGGCACAGAGTCGAGTTCTTCTGAGGACAAACTTTCACCTGTTGAAGGAATGGATGCTGATTCTGGAAGGTTGGACGAAATCATTCGGTATCTCTTTTTTAACCGAGATGGCTAAATAAGCGATCACATTTGTTGGGTTTTCTGAATCGTACTGGATGTCCTCGTTCACGATGCAGCCTTTGGCTGGATAGGTGTCTCAAAATGGCTTGAAATTCACGGTTACCCTTTGGTTCTCAGGGTCTTTTGTTTCAAAGTCTTTTGCGCATGATTGCTGATGTATGTCACTGGCGATGTCCGACATCGTCCGAGTAGTTACCTAGGGTGAACTTCACAGAATGAAATGTGACGTCACAGAAGGAGGCAGTAGTTTGAAGTTAGAAGTGAGGAATAGGGGTGCTGGAAAATTCGAACCGGTAGGTGGGCGCCCCACAAGAGCGATAGTTTTTTTTGGTTGAAGAACTTGGACAATGAGATAAGCGAGGAGTTGTAGTGTAGCGAGTAGCGTTGAGCAGCTTGAGAACTCCAGATAAAGCCGATGTCATAGTTTTGCGAATCGAGAGATCCGCTGAGCGTATCGCTGGATCCGAGCGTTCGCCAGCGAATCGAACGTTTGCACCAGCGAGTCGAACTATGTACCAGCGACTCAACACTGTTTGAAGTGGACTTCCTTTAAACGTTGGGTCCCGCCACTTTCAAACAGTGTTGAGTCGCTGGTACATCGTTCGACTCGCTGGTACATCGTTCGACTCGCTGGTGCAAAGTTCGATTCGCTGGTGCAACGTTCGATTCGCTGGCGCAACGCTCGGATCCAGCGATTCGCTAGCGAATCGCTCGATTCGCAAACTATGACATCGGCCTAAAAGGGGGAACGATATCAGGAAGCGCGATTGCTCTGAACAGAGTCAACGGCAGCGGTGGGGCCCCAGTATTTGACCCTGTTTTACTGGACTTTCTCGTTGCAGTTCCATAGGTATTGATTGATTCGGTTGTAGATTATATCATCCGTTCCAGTAAACTTGATGAGTCCGAATTGCCGAGCGTCTCGGATCCGTTCAGTCGAGAAGCGCCGTCAAGGAAGAGTATGAGTGAAAAGCGTGGTATGGGTGCGGCTAGTGATCCACACCACATCAAGCTTTTCCAGGATATCAAACATCAACGGCAGACAAGCGGTGAGTCCAAGGACAAACAAAATTATCAAAAGCGATGAAAAAACACTTTGGCCTTCGTATTCTTAAGCCGCTCCACATTTAAGTACTTTTAGTAGGTTGGCCTGGCGCTTTCACAAACTTTTGTAGCAAACTGTCAAACTCTTTTTGCAAGAGCTCCCTTATTTACATTCTCACCTTTGCGCTCATTTATTTACCATTCATTCACGTAATGGATTTGCGAAAGAGGGACCGGTTTTAAGAAATCTCTTTATCACTGAGGGTGGATTTTTAACGATAAGTAGCTCCTGATCGAGCTCCCTAAGCCATCCTGTGCTGAGGTTTGTTTCTCTTTTCTTTTTTTCTGTTCCCTGTTTTTTCTTTTTTTCGGGGGTGTTTTCTGTGTTATTTTTATGGTCCTGCTCACATATTTGGGAGTGCAGTAAAGCTATAAGATTTCCCATAAGTTATTTTTGACCGCGCACATCATCACCTCTCTTGGTAAATGAAGTTCCTAGGGAAGAATGTCTAGGGAAAAAACCTGTAGTGCGAACTGCTGGTCCTTCTCAGGAGCAGCTGGCCACATTACCGTTGCTATGAGTCACTTGACAATCTACTCGCCTTCCCTATATCGTTTAGTTGCATCTCGTTCAGCAGCCTCTATCGTTATATTTGCTTCTCAGACGCGATCCTAAGAAGATTATTTAAAGAAGATTTCAATTTGAGAAATGCAGTAGTGGGCTTTCTACGAAGACTCGCCACATACTGCAGAAACAGCAACAAAACAAAATTGGCACGGGTCAATTTTCACACCCGTTCACGACTCCTGCGAGTTCCTTTATTGGAAGTGATCTAGAAGAGTTCCAAACCTCCTTTTTTCTTCCTCATCTCGTTGACGTTGAGCTTCTTCCAACCTCGGATCAACCCTTTGCATGGGAGTCTCATCGCGGCTCTTTCCACCCAGACCGAGGAATGATTTCATGGCTGTTAAGCTGAAACATGAGCACTTCTAATGTGGAATCATTAAAACAGCAAATGTAAGCAGGTTCTACTGTATGGCAATACTGCAGTGGGGTAGCACACATTTTTTTACAGGCCGAATTTTGATTATATAGCCTAAAACTAATTATTGTCAGGTTATTGCAATGCATATAAATGTCGTACAGATTTACTTTCTCAACACTGAGCAGGTTTTGAATTTCCGGTGCTTGTAGTGTCATTCGAAAGAAGAAATCTAGTACAGGAAAGATTTCTCTATAACGATAT